TTGTTCCCACTCAACAAAAGAATTCTTATGTGGTGGGTATCAACAAACTTTGGTATACTCCCAGAGAGTTTATTGTTCCGCAGATCAATTATTTTGACATGTTCCAATAATGTGTCTGGAATTACCCCTTTGAAGTTGTTGTTGTGTAGGAACAAAATTGAACTAGGAGAATGTGACGGTAAAGCTCCGGACAGTAGGTTTCTAGAGATGTCCAGAAACCTAATATTCACCAAAGAAGGTGGTATTGTGCCTTCTAAGAAATTGTTTGATACCGATAAAATATCCAAATAAGATATTGTCGATATCCAACTTGGAATAGTACCTGTGAGACAATTGTTAGACATGTCAAGAGCTAGCAATGTATTGTTGGAGCTAAGCAAACCAACTCCAATCTTCCCTGTGAAATTGTTGTTATCCATACTCAAAACCTCCATGGAAGTGAAGTTTGTTCCTTCTGGAAGAAATTGGCCATTAAGTTTGTTGTGAGAGAGGAACAAGTATTTAAGTGAAACACAACCCGTAAGAAATCTTCTAGGTAGCTTCCCATAGAAGTTATTATAAGATAGGTCCATGACAAAAATGTTCTTCATATCACCCAGAGACGATGGAAAATACCCCGAGAACCCATTATCCGAGCCATTCATGTGCATCAGATTTGGAAGCGCACGACCGATATTATCTGGGAACAGCCCACCAATATTATTTGCTGAAAAATCCAAGAACCTCAAAATATTATGCACTACTGTGGGCATCTGAAAGATAGTGAATGAATTTTTCTGCAACTGTAAGACTTTGAGATTTGTATTATTCACCAACATCCAAGTAGGAATGTCTCCCGATAATCTGTTGCTAGATAGATCAACTAGAAGCAAGTTCTTCTGGTACATGAGAAAGGAAGGGATTTTCTCCAAGTTGCAAGATCGGAGTACAACAACACTCGGTTGAAATTTTGGCTTCCAACTACTCTCTGTCTTTACTTGTACCATATCAGATGTTGACGAAAGTTTTAACACCTCTAGCGTTGTAACATTGGCGAGTGGATTGAGTGAGAATAAGCCTGTAAAGTTGTTATCTAACAACGATAGATATTCAAGGGTCTCAAGGCCACTAAAACTAGATGGTAGATTCCCACTAATTTGGTTGTATGAGAGGTCAAGAACCTGTAGATTGTTCAAGCGACCTAAACAAAGAGGAAGCTGGCCTACAAAATAATTGTCACTGAGATAGAGCTCCCGCAAATTCTTCATTTTACAAACTACTGCATAAATATAATGAGAATATTAAGAATAGTTGTATTCCTCTCGAGAAGTCATACATAATCTTGAAGATAGGGTAAACAAAGGTCACCTTCTATAGGTATAGGTCCATCCAATTCATTACCAGCAAGACCCAAGACTTCCAAGTTAGTCGAATTGTTTAGTGCTGAAATTATTAAAGGCCAAAAGATTTTCCTTCAAAAAGTGATCATTGTCGAAATCTAAATAAGATATATTCATCTCCATTAATTCATTTAAAAAAAAAAAAAAAACGTCCAACAGAAGAAGCAAACTTGCCTTGCAATTCCATTGAGCTAGAAAATTTATTGGAACCTAGATCCAGAGCTTTCAGCCTTTTCAGGTGAGTCAAGTCTACCACAAGACAAAGAGATGTAATATGGATAAGATGATCTTTGAGATTGCATAAATCAATTTAACAATTATTTACGGAGTTAAATCTGTTAACAGTGAAAATTAACGTAGATGTTACCTGAAATAGAACCGTAAAAATAGTTTCGACCCATATCCAAAAGTTCCAAGTTTGTCAAGTCCTTTAGTTCTGAAAGTGGAATCCAATAGAATATAAGGATAGTTACAACAAAAAAATTAGAAATACTTTTATTATCAAGTACAACACCTTTTATTATCAAATACTTTTGTTTAGGTCCACATGCAAGTACAACACCTTTCATTTTATTATCAAGATTTTTTTTGCTCATGACCATTCAAACTTTCAAGTAAAGATGCATTTGACACGATTATATCCACTCAATCTACCTGGATCAATATCAATACTCAAAAACAAATTTTCTTGCTCATGAACATTCAAACTTTCAAATGCATTTGGAACATTATCATGCTCACTCAATCGACTAGGACTATCTTAGTATCATTCATATATGTTTTCAGTTATTTGAGAAAATTATCAACTGATTTTTTAACAAAATTATCCAAAGCCTTCTTTGAAATTTAATAAATGATTCATCTCTTTGTTTTTGTTTTTGTTTTTCCTTTTATCATTTCCAAACAAAACCATAATCAAAAGTCAATTTGATTAGAAGAGTAGCACATCGGTGAACAAAGGCGAGGTGATGAGAAGAACTGATTACTGATGCTGCCGAAAACAAAGTGAAATTTCTTTAAAGCACCAACAACAAAATTAAAATATTCATAAAGAAAGGAATAAAACATAAATTAAAATATTTTAACACTAGAAAGAAAAAAAAAGACAATATATATATATATATAATGTTTAGTGGCATTTAAAATTTGGTGAATTTGTGCATAAACAAAAATGGAATATGAAATTCGGTAATCGACATTAGTAAATTTCATCTGGAACAATAAGAAAATAAAGCAGATAATTGGATATATAGTTCGGTTTAATAACGAAAAAACTAGGTTTGATTTTAGTATGCGCATGGTGGAGAAGTTTATGCTTTTTAAGGCATCCGAAAGAATAACCTGACGTTTAATAAATGCTCCTAGTTGAACTAACATAGTTGACAAAAAAACGAGGTGACGGTTATTAAATTCAAACGACTTTATTTGAAATTTATCATATTTGAATCGGTAACAAAAACAACTAACATAGTTGCATGGACACCCAAGAAATATTTTACAAGATTTTGACATTTGTATACAGATAATATATACATAAAACGTAAGATATAATTATAATGTTAAATAATTATGTCTATGTGTACATGTAAATACATATATATGGTATGTTATTAACATTTGTATACATATAAACACGTATATGAAGCGTTATTAAAATTTGTATACATGTAAACAAGTATATAGAACGTTAGTAACATACTAACATTTGTATATATGTAAACACATATATAGAGCATTAATAACATTTGTATACTTTTATGTACGCTACAATACAAATATTACAATTATCGTATCTCAAACCGTCGATTAGAGAAAGTGATCAGTGCATCGCAATTGGACATCGAAATATCATTAGAATCAGAAGTTTCATCGGATTTTCGATGGGTTTTCATCGGTTTTCATCGAGTTGCACTGGATCTCACCGGATTTCATCGAATTGTCACTGGATCTTCACTAGATTTCATCGCATTGTCACCGGATCTGTATCAGATTTTTCCAAATTGATCACCGGAACTTAGACAAATTCATCATAACATTAACACTAATCGTGTCGAGTTTCTAGTATTGATTGACTCTATTCCGAACATATTTTTCACTGTACGCAAATAATCGGTGGCCATGGATTTTCATGTTTTTACAAAATAAATATATTGAATATTAGATCTAATCGACGGAGAGACAACATGTAGGATATATACATAGATCTATAAAATTTTCTAGACACCCACAACAAATATCAATTCATTTGTTTCATGTAATAGACCGATCAAGAATCCAAATATCTGAAGCGCGTGAGGTTCAATTGGAAAGGAATGTGGGATAAATATTTTCATTGTTATGGACTTTGTGTCAGTTTACTAAAAAACGAATTTGTCCCACATCCATGGTCTATGCCCCAATTATCTCTTTAAAATTTGTAACATCAATTTTGAACTGAACTCTCTGTTTTATAAATCAAACACATCCACTAACACACAAAAAGAAACGGAGAATCTAAATTTTAATACCGCAAATCATCCAAACTTACAATTACAAAAAACGGTCGTTGCAGCGTTTAATGGATCTAAGGATAGTAGCAGAAAATTTTGAATGGGAAAACGAAATCAGAATCAAAGAAGTGAAATTCGTGTAACAAATGACACGAAATTCATATGACTATTACACTTATAACTTATTCCATTTGATTTGCTTATTACATACCACCGTATTGCTTGTTCCTTGTTCGAAATTATATATTACTATAGAACAAATATTAGCCCAAAGAACGCTGCAACGGAGAAAAATAGTTTATCAAAAACCAAAAACGGAGAAAAAAACGTGCTCATATAGGAAATAAACTGTCAGAAACACGTGGCAGGAGAATCTTCTGTTCTCCTCTACCATAGGTAGGAAGGAAGGAAGTACATAACTTGCTTGGAGTAAACAATTCACGTTCATTTTGTAGCTTTATCCGTCTTGACGTGGCAACTTTTTACTGGTCCTGCTGATTCTTTATCGTAAAAGCATTTTCTATTAAAGGAAAAAATTAAAGAAAGAAAATAGGATTCCTTTGTCCTCTTTGAACGAGTTAAATTTTTAACATATAATAAAAAATACGAAGATTATAGTTCCACGAAATTTCATCTATTTTTATCCAAATAATTTTATTGAAATATTAACAACAATATGAAGCAAAATTTTAAAATGATAATAAAAGGAGTAGACGAACCAATCCGAATAGAAGTTCTCTTGTCTTGCAAAAGTTGTATAGAGAGAGAGTCAGAGAGAGAAAGTTTCGCTTGTCTTAAACCAATGTACGAAACTCATCCATCCAATTAGTAACAGGCACGTCATCATTAGCCCGCGGAAACCAGACCATGTGAGTCACACGTGATGTTTTTGTTCCTTCTTTCTCATTGCCTCAAACGCGGATTTGCTGCGTTTGCTGACCGAGTCGCTCTTTTCTTGACCTTTTTTTTATGTGTTTTCTTGGAGGGCTTCTTTCCTTGCTGTCTTTGATTCTTTTTTTTTAATGTTCTCTACGTTTCCTTAGCCTTATTTAGAAGACATACAATGCGTATGATACGCCTCTACGTACACATTTACTTACAGCTATATATAAAATAACAAATCATCGCCTCCTTTTTAGTCACACAATATATAAACACCTAAAAGAAACAAAAAAAAAGAGAAAAAAAAACCCAAAAAAAAAAAAAAGAAGAATAACTTCTGAAATCTATGGCAAAGAAGGTGAGGAAGCTTCACGTGACGGTGAAGCCGGTGAGGCTTGATGGATTACCGGCTATTCTCGGTGATGAAACGGCGGGGAAGAACCTTTCCGCGATGGTAGAGGTGAAATGGAAAGGACCGGTCTCCGGTTTTGGATTAGGTTTCGTCCCTTTCTATCGGTCGAATCGACCGGTTAACCATACTAGCTCTAAACCGATTGCTTTAGGCGTAAGCCATGTAGAATGGGAAGAAGAGTTTGAACGCGTTTGTTGCATCGTTGGCCCATGGAACCTCTCCTTCAATGTCTTCTACGTGAGTTTTCTTAATTCTCCTTTTTAGGATTATTAATTTGATGTTTGAATTCAATTAGTTGAATTTATCTATTTTTTGGTATTAGGGTGAAAATATGGACGCAAAAAACAAAAAGTCTTTGATCGGAAAAGCATCGTTGGATTTGTCGGAGTTAGCGTCAAAACAAGAATCGACGGTGGAGAGAAAGCTTCCGATTCGGTCAAAAGGTTCCGTACTTTCGAAGGAAGCAACACTTTTGGTAATTAATCTGGTCAATTAAAATCTAAACACATTTTTTAATTCACCAAAAGTCATTTCAAATTTGAATTGTTCTCATTGGATATTAAATTAATCTCGGAAACATCATGGAAAGGTTTTAAAGACTTTCCTTAGACAGAAAAAGTAAATTAATAATCTAATCTTTTTTTTTGTCATCAATTAATAATCTAATCTTGATCCTTAATTTAATAGACACACGGTTGTTTATTTAAAACAGGTCAACGTGACTTTTTCCGAGGTAAGAACCGAACCAGACGACTTTATGCAACTTGGTCAGGTCTCCATTGACTCAGTAATTACGAAGAAGATGTCAACGAGTCGTCGTGGCGGTGGCAGCAATTTCGATTCTTCTTCCTCCCCGGCCACCGCGTCGAGTTCAGGCGGACGGAGCCCCCTTGTTGAAACCGGGTCATCTTCAAGCCCGGATGAGAACCAATCTGAACCGGGTCAAAAAGCCGGGTTTAATTGGTGGAAGAGAAGACGGTTAAGCTTTTCGATGACATGGAGAAGAGAACCGGTACGTAATTGGCTTTCTGAAATTTCAAAACCAGGTTCGATTTTTTCCTTAACCGGACCGGTTTGTTTTTTGCAGAGAGAGGATGAAGTTGCAAAGACATCAACGAAACCATCGGAGGAACCAGAAAAACCGGCGACGGCGGCGACGGAGCTATCAATCGAGGCAAACAAATGGGTAATGAAGGATTTAGTGAGCCGAGATGGAAAATCGAAACTGAAATCGGAAGTCTACTCAGCGTCGATTGATCAAAGAAGCGAACAAGCCGCCGGAGAAGCAGCTTGCGCGGCGGTTGCAGTGGTGGTGGCGCATTGGTTCCATGCGAATCCTAAGCTCATAAATCCTTCAGGAACAGAGTTCGATTCGTTGATCACGCAAGGCTCTTCCTTATGGCAATCTCTTTGCGACCAAGAATCGTTTCTGAGATTGTTTCCAAACAAGCATTTCGATCTCGAAACGATCGTTTCCGCAAATTTACGACCGGTTAGGGTTTGTACTGATAAGTCGTTCACCGGGTTTTTCAGCCCGGAGAGATTTGCTTCGTTGGATGGTCTAATGTCGTTTGATCAGATTTGGGACGAGGTAGAGAAAGAAGTAGCGTTAGCCTCAAGTAATGGTGAAACTAGGGTTTATATTGTTAGCTGGAATGATCATTTCTTCGTGGTGAAGGCAGATTTAGATGGTTATTGCGTTATCGATTCGTTAGGGGAGAGATTGTTTGAAGGATGCAAGCAAGCTTACATTCTAAAGTTTGATGATTCGAGTTTGATGTATGAGAAAGAGGAATCGTCGGAGAAGTTGGTTTGTGAAGGTAAAAAGTGTTGTAGAGAATATATAAAGAGGTTTTTGGCGGCGATTCCGGTGGCGGAGTTGGCGGCAAAGGAGGAGAAAGGGAATGTAGTGGATGTGTCTCTTCTTCATGAGAAACTTCAGATTGATTTGCATCATATTATGTTGACTAGTGATGATTAGAGTTTTTGTTTTTCTGACTATTGATTGGTGACTCGTTAGTGTAGATTTGTTAGGATGGTGAGATATAGAGAGAGTATTAATTTTTGTACATATGGTTCGTTAAGTCAAGGAAAAGTTTTCATTTGTCCTGGCTTAGGTACTAAAATCCAAACAGGCTTTCTTTTTGTAATGTTTTCGAGCATCCTCAGCCGAAAAAAAAAACAAACCGAACCAAACCTAATGTATGTAAGTGATTCGATTTAGTTTCTGTTACAGCTTAAAGTTAACATTTTTTAGAACTTTTTTTTGTTGTCGGTTCGGTGTGGTTAAAAATAAAAACCATAAAACCGAACGGTACTAGGGTCCAAAGAAAGAACAGAGCAATACTTTTGATATATGAGAACAAAAACAGAGTGTATATTAGGTTTGTAGGAACCAGAATTTCCACAACAAGGCTTATTCAAATTGGATTTTGGAAAATAAGAATAATATTATAGCTTATAATTCCGTTTTCCAAATATCAAATCCCAATTCCAGTCTATATGTGTTTGAGTTCTCATCTATCTTCTAAAATAGGCAATTTGATTCTAAGTAACAGTTTCAAACTTTCTAACCTAACCACTTCAGACATTTTTTTGTTTAATAAACCAATAAATAATAAATAAATAAATAAATGTCTGAAGTGGTTAATTTTTCATTTAAACGAACTTCTTTTTTACATTTCAATACATTAGTGTTCTAAGACTAAAGGATTAGCATTGTAAAAATTAATAGAGTATCTTGGATTAATTAGTGATCACACGAGTCAGTAACATAAATCTGAACACTCGCTTTTTATATATGTTTACGTTCGTTTAGTTGAAATCCCACTTTGTTTACATTTAAATCTCATTATAGTATTTTAGTTAATTTTGTTTAAAACCGTGATCAAATCTTGTTTAGCTTATTAAGTAATAGCATGCAATTCCTAGTGAAGTAAAACATTATTTCTTGCGGATTCGATCCTAAAATAATGCATCGACATACTATTCGATTGTGCTAGTGTGCATATTAAGTTTTAGTTGATATGTGTAACCGGAAGATTAAAATATTGTGCCTATTTTCTAATTTATTCTAATTACATTTTTTTTGCTTTATTAATATGAAGAAGAGTTACATAGACTAGTACAAAAATAATGAAAGCAAAAAGACAAATCATTTATGATCCAATCCTTTGCTAACATATCTGCTAATTTTTCGAAATCTCTTTTGATTCATCTTAACTAAAGAATCAAACTAGTAATCATCCCAAGCAATACAAATACAAACCATATGTACCAACTAAAGAATAGTCATAAAAAATCAAAGGAGGAATTTGATTGAATTTAAAAATACTATGATTGCATTTTCCAATGAGATGATTGCATTTTCCAATGAGATACAATCTACTGAAAATTACCTAGTTTGACTCAAATCTAGAGAAAAATAACTAGATTAACATCCAAATATTGTGGTTTACTAGAATAACACAATTTTTGGGTTAAAAGACCAAATACCCATTTTATTTTCAATTCTATTAAAATATATAATTAACATATAATAATTAAATTAAATAGAAAATTAAAAAAATACAAAAAAAAATTATAAAACGAAAATTGAAAAAAAAAACGAAAAAATATATATAAATTGAAAAAAACGAAAAAAAAAACAAATACCCATTTTATTTTCAATTCAATTAAAATAAAATAATTAAAATATAATAACTAAATTAAATAGAAAATTAGAAAAAAATACAAAACGACAAAAAAAATATAAAATGAAAAAAAAAATACAGAACAAAAAAAAATTAAAAAAAAGAAACCGAAAAAATATAAAACGAAAAAAAAAATTAAAAAGAAAAAAAGAATATAAGAAACGAAAAAAATTATCTTTATCATATATTAACAAGGAGACAACCACACATTAGCCATCTATTATAAATAAGTCTGTCGCGATAAGAATATGTCTGTCATTACTTTATTGTGCAGATTAAAATTCTATCTTCATCAATAAAACTGTCATCATACGACATATTTTTTTATAGCCTATCTGAAATCTGTCATAATATAAAAAAAATCTATCATAACATAAAACATTTCGGTTGTGAGTATATGTCATTCTAGCAATTTATATTTTTATATAACAAATCTGCTATCACACTCCAGATTTTTGTTAAGAAAAAAAAAATTGTCATAACATAAAATAAATCTGTTATCACTAATAAGTCAAACTAGTAATAATTTTTTTATTAACAGATATGCTACATTATGACAGATTTTTATCGAAAAATATAAGTCTGACGCCACTAAAACAATAAATCTGCCACACATTTTAATAAATCTGTCAAAATTACGAAAGTTTGTGGTGTGTCATCATAAAATAAGTCTGTCGTGAGAAAAAAATCTGTTACAAATTAAATATATGTCGTAACCTATTTTAAGTAAGTCTGTGGGAGAAAAAACATTTGTCACAAAAAATCTGCCATAGAAAAATAAGTCTGTCATGGAAAATAAACCTGTCACAACTAACCCAGCAGATTTTTCAAAATAATTTTTTTTTTCCAAATATTTTTTCTCCACGTTTTTTAAATATATTTAAGGGTAATTTTGATTTTTTTTTTTATTCCTAACAAAGAGAGAAAGAGTATTATGGTCATGAAAATAACTCATTTAACCCCCAATTTTTTTTAGACATTCTAGTAATTAAACTAATAATTTGGGTTAATCTAGTAACTTTTCCATCAATCTATGATACTATTGCGGCAATATGCCAATATATATGGAAGCAAAAACGTCAAGAAAAAGAAAAAAAAATTATACTAGTATTAGCTAGGGGTTAAAATATAATTTTAAAACAAAACTAGTATTTAGTGGATGATTGAATTTTTCTAAATTAGTTATATTGTAAAACGTCCATGATTAATTCAAAAATCATTTGTTGATTTTAATGCTTTATCATTTTGTATTTGTTATGTTGTGTTTGTGATAATGAATGGTATGTATTAGGTGTAATTACAGGTGGAATTACGTTTTTGAAACGTAAAAAAACAAACATACCTATTGTTTTATAAATATAAAATGTAATCATTCAAATTTATTATTATTTTTGTTTAAAATAAAATAGAATCGAAACACCTAATATGTTCAAATAAAAGCCTTGAATGGATGATAGAAAAAAGAACGATCATACACTGGTGTAAGGTCGTACACTTTTATACTTTCATTCACAAGAAAATATATATGAAGCGTACAAAACCAAAATATTACAAAAAAAGATTGAACCATTAGCAACCAAAATAAAAAGGAAAAGCTATGATTTGCTAGTAATAGTAGGAACGCATCATATCTCATATGACTCCGAATGGAGAGAGCGTATCGGACGAAGCGGATCAAGTGGATCAGGCGTATCAAACAGAACAAAAGCGGATCAAGCAGATTTGGCGGTACAAGTGCGGATCAAGCGGATTTGGCGGTTCAAAAAAATATTTGAATGTTGAAAGCGGATCAAATATTGCAGATGATATTATATAGGCTTTGAATGTTGCGTCAGATATTTGGCAGTTCAAGTTGTAGGACAGATGAACTGTCTTTAACTTACCAATCAGCAAAAAAAGTTAAAAAGTGGGCTGACTGCATACATATAATTTTTTTTTGTGTTTTTGTGATTAAAGTAGGCCAAATGAGACCGTTCTCTCCCATATGCTAGTGGAAGTGGTCCAACGGCAGTCCATATTTTTTTAATAAATAAAAAAAGAAAATTAAATTAAATATTATTTTTTTTTATAAAAGCACAAAAACTCTTTTGTACTTCATATATTACACTCACACTACAAAAAAGGTGACTATCTTGCTCTTTCTCTTGCTTTTTTTACGTTGCTTGTTTTTTTGTTTAGAATGTAACTTTTTTTTTTATAAAATTAGAAATATACTAGATTTTAACCCGCGGTACACCGCAGGACGATTTGCTTTTAAAATTAGTGATATTTAAAATTTAATGGTTATATATTATATACATTTTTTTTGCAAATGGTATCATCTTATAGGACATTTATATTTTATAGTTTACAATTGTTATTAAGTAACGGTTTACCACAAGATAATTTTTGTTTTATACAATTTACTTTAATCAGGATCATTTGATATGTCTAATATTGATGGTGTTAAAAAAGTAATAAAATGAAAATTTAACTGTATTGAACCAGCGGATTAATGATGTTTAAATTTTTTTGATTCAAACTTGTCCCATCATATAATCCCGTCCTACAATATAACACCGTCCTATGTTATTATAACTCTTTATATATGTTCAAATGTTCTTATATTATAAATTTTTTTATTAATTTTAAATATATGAATTAGAATATTTAAAACTTCTTAAAAACTCGTCCCGTTATATAACATTGCCTACCAATATAACCCGCCTCGTGTTATTGTAACTCTTTATATATGTTCAAAGTTTCATAATATTATAAACTTTTTTATTGATTTTAAATATATGAATTATATTATTTAAAACTTTTTAAAAGTATTAAATTTAACATTTTCGGTAAAATTAAGCAGTTAAACTAAAAATCGAATGAAACGGTATCTAATTTTAAATTTGGATGCTTATTAAGTTGAGCTTCTTGTTCATTCAGATTTGGATTCATTTTGATCTTATTTATAATATGATTCTGAGTCAATATCTAAATATTTTAGCCGATATGGGACATTAAACACACACCTTTTTCATTAATTGCGTAATATATATCCGTTTTAAAAATTTCGAATCCCAATATATGTAGAAAAAAAATTGAGATTTTTTTTTTACTTTATGTATTATATGATGATTCAAAACAGTTAAAAAATGTTTAAGCAAAGATGATAGGAGAATTGTATTTCTAAATCTTAACCAAATCTTCTAAATATCTATATTTTTAATTATGGAATATCCGGTTCATAATTTTGGATATGTTTTGGCCCGATCCAAAAAGGATATGAACTATCCGGTGTAAGATTTATGAAGTAAATTTCTTATCGGATCGGGTACCAAATTTGTCGGATAACAATTTAACCCACCCGCTAAAAATGTACTTCAAAAATACTAGTATAGATATTATAGAATTTATTTATTTATGTGTAGTATAAAGTTATATTTTATAAATTGTAATGATTGTATAGTT